CTATAAACAGAAACAAAACACGGGTACATAAATAGGTCATATGATTTGAAACAGAATTATCTATTCAACGCCAAGTAATATGTCTCTATTGCTTCAGCATCACACATATCATGCTCTGTTAAAACATCAATGATTATTGGCAGTTCAATGTTCTCTCTGTACATTTTCAAGTCAACGACGATTCATTGACACGGCCATGGAATATCTAGATATTCGCATAGCTTGTGTAATAGGTCACAATTTAGCACAACGAGTTACAATTTAGCATCAGGCACACGATTAGCATGGAGCAACAATGATTCTCGTGTCAATATTGGAAAGGGAGTCACGAACCATATGTTATCAAATTTGGGCATGATCCCTGATGTTTCCTCTCGTGAAGTTTTTACAGATCATGCTGTCCACACAGATTATCGCACCGCGTGATAACAGGGCAAGGACGTGGATGTACACGATGATTGGTTAGACGCAGATGAGTCATACATACCAATGTAAACGTGGAAGAAGAGATTTAGGTATTCACTGTTATTTCACTGATTATGTACGAAGTCTCATAAATGTAAATTTGCATTTACTGATACTTGCATTAAAATACATTCATTTTTTTACAAATGGTTTTGTCCCTAGTAACCATGTGTCTTCTTAATGCAAATAAACAATATTAGTTGTTTTAGTGATTAAGTCACTGATATTAGTTTGGCTCTTGACCAAGCGGTGCTATACCAGCTGCTTTTAACTTGTTTTGAATTGTGTGCTAGTATATACAACTAGGATTCGTAAGTGAGTACGTAACCCGCCAAATAACGAATGTGACGTTATGACTGTCAATAGCAAAAAAAAGCACGGTAGGGTGGGGTTTTTATATGTCGTTGTATGACCAACTAACGTTAATTATGAAATAGGACAAAGTCACCTACTAAGGCAAAATTAAATACGCACGAACATATACGCCCGAAAGTTAATCCCTCAGTCACCACTACATCTTAAGAATGGTATGAGGATATCACTACGTATGACAGCCACACCCAGTGTTAGAGTGTTTTTAACGTTGGCATGAAATCCGTGATACTGACATAGCAACCAGATAATGTAATTCTGAATTTATTGTATTCGGAGCAGTATATTAAAAATAATTGTGTGAGCTTATAGTAAAATACGGCAAATAATCATAATCGGAAATTAAAAGATGAGATGTATGTGATAAAGTAGTGTGTTTATTATAGAATAACCCCCCAAAAAGGTGAGCATATCACAATGTTATTCGAAGTTTCACAATTTTATGCTCGAGCCGGTGATGGAGAAGTTTCTCTGTCATTTCTAAAATAAGTTTGCGTTTCACATTTGTATTCTAGACTTACATATTTGTTTTTGGTGTTCTTTTCAATAAAATTATATATTACGTGAGTGTATACTTCAGTTTATTGAAAAACACACCAAGAAATAAACAACAGACGGGCTAAAGAGACTGTATGCAAGTATAATTAGGGTCATAATCGGATTAGAGTTCACATTATTCAGTGACCGCTAATAGCTACGCACAACACTTGTGATGGTGTTTAAAGAATAAACGACGACACACTCCTCATCATTGCGTGATAACAGGGCAAAGGGCGTGGTTGTGCGCAATAATCAACTAAAATCAGAACAACCCCGACTGCGCAGGGAACTAAGACGACAGACAGACAACATTGGTGATGATATTAAGCTTTCTCATTACTTGATCACATATGGGTGGCCGATGTGTGTGAAACATTGACGCTATAGTAAATTTGCTGTGAACGGTTCAGACATGTGGAAGGGAGTGCTGGAATGGCTCGTTCCGTTGATTATGGCACACGCAGCGTATGGTAAGTGCACATACCTACTTTAGAAGATTTTATGATCATGTTGCATCTTCTGGATAATAATATCTATATCCACTGTAAAATTCACAACCATTATTTAGCACTTTCAATTTTCAGGTTTATCTATTATAGATATGCCTGTACATCACTGTTGCAAAAATACAAATATTATACCAAAATACTATAAACTCACTGTGCTCGTTTTCAAGTAAAAATTCAATTTTGATTTCAATGGCGGTCGAATATATATCTGAAACTTAAACCTGGTAGGTTTGTGGGTAATTTTTTTGTGAATCATTTCTTTCTTTAATTTGAAAGTAATATTTCCAGCACATTCAACCTGACACTAGAATGGGTAATTAGTTTTCGGACCATTGGAAACTCCTTACATTTAGCATACATTTTAGAATTTTGAATAACTGACGTTGTATTATCATAAACGTGATCTTCAGATTATCTAAATAAAGCGGTAACAAACATTTATTTTATATATTTAATAAGTCTCGGAGAATCATCTGGAGCTTTATTCCCGTAATGAGTTCAAAACCGTTAATCATTTTCAGCGATTTTTGAACGACTAGCTACTTCCTTAAACTGACAAATTGACATAGCCTGCCATATATCTGGTTATGGTCCATTAAATAAAAAAAGATTAAACATTTATTTTTGCAAGAAGAATACTAAGAAGAATGTAAGAGGTGAAAGATCAAAATCTTTCTGGCATCGATGTCGTTCATGCAAATGTGGGAATTGGCTACCGGGTAACACCTGGGCGGAGTGAAACGACCACCCATGACTGCAAAGTAATGATAGTATGATCGCTTCCCTCGCAACAATGTTTTTGTTTATGTTAAAAACTATTGTTCGAACTCAAAGGTTATTAGTGCCCACACTACCTGTAGCTAACTTACTAATTTCATACAGAACTTCAGTGAAAACCAAAACCCAATCGTGGAATGCTGGTGAATCAGCTTGGGGAGAATATCTATGGCGAGCCACATTATTTATTATTATATTAATTATATACGGGTGTACAAGGCACGAATATTTGGTGAAAATCACGATTAAAATTACGACATAGTATTCACCTCAGTTGTCTTATTTACGACATAGTATTCGCCTGATTTGTCTAATTTACGGCATATTATTCACCTAAGTTGTCTAATTCAAGACATAGTATTTACTTGATTTTTCTCATTTAAGACAGTATTCGCCTGATTTGTCTAATTTACGACATAGTATTCACCTGATTTGTCTAATTTACGACATAGTATTCACCTGATTTGTCTAATTTACGACATTGTATTCATCTGATTTGTCTAATTTATGACATAATTTTCACCTGATTTGTCTAATTTACGACATAGTATTCACCTGATTTGTCTAATTCACGACATATATTCGCTTGATTTGTTTAATTTACGACATAGTATTCACCTACGTTGTCTAGTTTACGACATATATTCGCCCGATTTGTCTAATTTACGACATTGTATTCACCTGATTTGTCTAATTTACGACATATTATTCACCTAAGTTGTCTAATTTACGACATAGTAATTACCTGGATTGTCTGATTTCCGACATAGTAATTACCTGGATTGTAAAATTTCCGACATAGTAATTACCTGGTTTGTCTGATTTCCGACATAGTAATAATCTGGATTGTGTAATTTCCGACATAGTATTCACCTGATTTTTCAAACCTCCGACATAGTATTCAGCTGAGTTGTCTAATTTACGACATAGTATTCACATGATATCTAATTTACGACATATATTAACCTGATTTGTGTAATTTACGACATAGTATTCACCTAAGTTGTTTAATTTCCGACATAGTATTCACATGATATGTCTAATTTACGACATATTATTCACCTGATTTGTCTAAATTACGAAATATTATTCACCTAAGTTGTCTAATTTACGACATATATTCGTCTAATTTACGACATATTATTCACCTAAGTTGTCTAATTTACGACATATATTTACCTGATTTGTTTAATTTACGACATAGTATTCACCTAAGTTGTCTATTTTACGATATATATTCGCCCGATTTGTCTAATTTACGACATATTATTCACCTTAGTTGTTTAATTTCCGACATTGTAATTACCTGGATTGTGTAATTTCCGACATAGTATTCACCTGAATTTTCTAACCTCCGACATAGTATACAACCGAGTTGTCTAATTTACGACATAGTATTCACATGGTATGTCTAATTTACGACATAGAAATTCATCTCAATTGTCTAATTTACGACACAGTAATTGCCTGATTTGTCTAATTTATTACATTATTCACCTGATTTGTCTAATTTACGACATAGTATTCACCTGACTTTTCTAACCTCCGAAATAGTATACATTCGAGTTGTCTAATTTATGACATTGTGTTCAACTGATTTGTCTAATTAACGACATAGTATTCACCTGCGTTTTGCAATTTACAACATTGTATTGCTTGATTTGTCTAATTTACGACATAGTAATCATGTGATTCGTCTATTATACGACATAGTATTCGCCCAATTTGTCTAATTTTCGACATGGTATTCACCTGATTTGTCAAATTCACGACATGGTATCCATAATATTCACCTGAGGTTTGTAATTTACAATATAGTACTCACAGTTGTCTGCAGATTTATCTAATTTACGACATAGTACGGATCAGTCTGCGCAAGTTGATGTACTGAAGTCATGGAAACAGTCATTCAGTGATGATACAAAATTCTGTGCCCTCCACGTATTTA